GCGATTTTGAAATCCAAAATTGCGATTCATATTCATGCGATTTTAAAATCCAATATCAAGATTCATATTCACGCGATTTTAAAACCCAATATCACGATTCTTGAAAGAAGTAGAAGTAAGTTTTCTCTTGAATTAGTTACTGTAAAGATGTGATATATTTTTCATTAGTAAGTAATTTAATAGTCGCGCCTTCCTATAATTGCTTTTTTTTTTATGTATTAGTGGTCAAAATTTGAAAATTACATTTAAGAAAAATTTAAAGTTAACTGTCTAAATGCTTCTGCCACTTTAAATATTTAATAAAAGTCTCCCAGCATTGTTAAAAGTTGCTTTTATAAATCTCAGTATCATATAGAGCCCTCTCCCCTCCTCCTAGTGACCTGCGTAGTAAAAGTTCAGTTTTTTTAATTTTTGTCCACTTTCATGCCTGTTAAACTTGATGTATTATGGTAAAGCTTTCTCCGATAGTTTGCATATGTCGAGGGGGTATTGTGTATGTTAGGTATTTCAGTCAAAAAATTTTCAGTCTTGGCCTTTTTTCCAACTTGCACCCATGATGTTAATGCTTAAAATATGTTTATTTACACGTTGGTTATATAGTTTTAAAAAATTACAATGCATACTCACTCTTTAAATATTTTAGCACAAAAGCTCTTTATGAAAAAAACAAACAAACAACCAAACTGAAGTTTAATTTAATCTTGTCAAGTTGGGGTCGACATTTGAGAGAAAAATACATTGAAAAATACAGATTGTCCTAAAGTTGAATGATAATTTGAAAAATAAAGGAAAGGAAATAAGAACATACAATTTTTGCTTTTTGCTGGGAAGCCAGTCAATTTCAAAATCAGTTACAAACTTTGTCAACAGGTTATGTTATTAACTGGAACTTTTGCTGTTGTATGTACTACTTAAATATTTGCATTAGTATCTTTTAATTTTGTCCTTAGGTGGGGCTACATGTTGTTGCTGTTTCTCAACTGTGTAACTTATTAAACTTTTCAGCTAATGTTGAAATTTGGGGGGAAGAAATGTTTTCTTAAGCCTTTTGTATGATCAGGTCATTATTGGGACATTGAGTACAATTAATAATACAGTTTATGGCTTATGTAAAATATGCTCTCAAGTAATCATGTTTGTTTTAATTGAAATGGTGTTGGACAAGGAAGCATAGCTGGGAAAATTTCACAATTGCATTTCTGTTCAAATAAATGAATTCTACAATTAAATCAATGCTTTAATTATGTATTTCTTGATGAACAAACATACATAACTTGTATTTTAAACAAACAAGCTTTTATATATTTTTTAAGGCGAAAATTTCTCATAAATAATTTCTGATCAAGCTAACAGTTGGCAGGTTTTATTTAGACCAAAAATTTGTCTGTTAGTTCTAAAAAATTTTCTTTAAATCTGGCAGTTATGACTCAACTTATTATTAAGTTTTTTTTTAGTTGTATTTTATAATTGTTATCTTCATATTGATTCTAATTTGTAAAATAGATTATGATGAATATATTTGTGTTTTTTTTTAATTTTATCTTTTTATTATAATGCGGTATCACCAAATATAGCTAGTTTCCGGATTTGTACACACCAATAGTACCGGGAAAACTGTTTAAACATAATTTTGTCCAAAAACCTGGACTTGTCAGGGAATTTTTTAACCCTATTAAATCTCTTGAAGAACATGGTATTTTGAGCTTTTGTTTGCAACTTGATCTAAATAATGTTTAAAAATAATAAAATTATTTGCCATACAAAGGATCACTTGGCAATGAGTTAAGTAAAAAAGTCATTAAGTTTTATTATTATTATTTTTAGCTCAGTTTCCGAAATAGTTAAAGCATTTGCAATAGTAGTTATGTCATTGATAGCTCACAGTTTAAGTTTCATTGCTGTTGAGGGGGTCGAATGGACTGTATTACTAATGATTAAGAACAAACAATAACTATTTAATAATTTATTAATGAAATGATGAATGACGCCATTTCGAAGA